GAAGAAGAAGAAGAAATTTGTGGTAGGCCCTGGGAATGCAACTGTAAACAATTCAGAGAGGACCGACACCACCTTGTGGCTGATGTTTTAACCTTCCCTGTGATTCCTGCTCTTTGTTTGAAATATGTGTGATAATTATAATGCGCTCGTAAGGATTCTGCATGATGATTTCTGCACAGCCCTTAGCATGGCTGCAGTGAAGTTCAGCCATGATGCTGATGACTGCGTTGATAGCTGCAGTGATGAGTACTGCAAATCAGACCCTAAGTTTCTACACCAGCATGGGTTTATTTATTGTTTATTTGTTTTCAGTTTGGTTTGGGGGACTTGGAATCAAACCCAGGGTTTTCTCACTGATTTTCATAACCAACCTTTCTGTATTTTTAATTTTGAAGCAGGGTATCACTATGTCATCAAATTGCCCTGGCTGAAATTGGACATGCAGTTTTCGTGTCTCAGCCTCCCAGAGTGCGGAGATTACAAGTGAATGCCATTGCCCCTATCTCAGGCTGATTTTTACATCTTTCCTATAATCCAATGTTCTCATCTTTAAAGTACATTGTAATTATGATAGACCCATAGTGATTCTATGTGAGGACCGGCAAGATAGCTCAGCAGACTAAAACGCCTGCCTAGACAAGCTTAGGCAAAGCATGGGTTTCACAATCCCCAGCAACACATGCCAGGCCAGCCCTGCCCCCAGGGAGGCTGAGCTGGCCAAAGTCCGGGCATGGTGGTTTGGTGGTGCAGGCCTATAATCCCAGTGCTGGGCAGGCTAAAAGCAGGATGATCACCTCAAATCCAAGCTGTGTGGTGAAATCCTGTAACAAAAAATATGTAAAAAAAAAACTAAAAATAGGTTCTATGCAGGTGACCTCCTCATGACATTTTCAACATCCCCGGCAAGCTTGTAATAAAGTTGATCCACAGTGATGATCATCATCTTGGTTATTGTGGGTTGATGTATGCTACAAATTGGCTTTTCAGTTTCCCCCATGGATGTGAGCAAGGCTTGGTTTGAAGCCAATGTGCTATTGGGAGGTGGGGCTAAGTGACCAATGTGTGACCTTGAAGGAGTCAAAGTCTCTCTCTTTGTCTTTGCTTCCCAGAAGCCAGGAGGTGAGCAGCTTTGCTGCACTGCCGTCCTTGCCATGATATTTTGCCTTGCCAACAGCAATGAACTAAACCTCTGGAACTGTAAGCCAAGTAAAGCTTTCTTCCTTTTGTTATCTCAGGGACTTTGTCATAGTGACAGAAAGCTGGCTAACAATCATCACTCACTCCAGCAATTCGATAGTCAGTCAGATAAATGTGATAAAGATTTTCCTGTCAGTACTACAATTGACCTTTTCCCAAAGTTTGGAGGGGGCACATTTAGGGACTTCCAAAGCACAGAAGATGTGACTCATGTCTCTCAAGCAAAGGACACAGTAAATGAGATCAGAAGCATTCCATGTGTTGCACTGAGAAGTTGCAGAGTCTAGACAAGAGCTTCCCAAAATTTCTCTGATCTCTCTCTCTCCCACTCTGACTTTTCTTCTACTTTTCTCCCTCCCTTCTTCTCTCTCTCTCTCTCTCTCTCTCTCTCTCTCTCTCTCTCTCTCTCTCTGAAATCTGCACAGCTGCCAAGAAAGCAAAATTAATCTAGCCTGCTGGAAGATGAGACTCATAGAGCTGTATTGGACCATATGCACACTAGTGAGTCCAACTGAATTCAGCCCAAATGTGGAGCCAAAAATCTCAGAGTTCAATTAATAGCTAGTGTAGAAAGTCACTGTATTATATCCCTGCAAAGTCATGCTTTGGAGTTCAGGCCTCAGGTGTTGGAGGACTTTTTTGTTGTTGTTAGAACATAACTAACAATTGTTCATGGAAACTTCCACAATTTTGTGGAAACTGAAAATATCCTCCACAGTTTTATTTTTATTTTTTGGAGGGGAGGGGGCTGGAAATTTGCAGTTCATCAATCCAAGAGTGTTATTCAGTTCTCATTTCTGTTGATCTATAAATCTATTTGGTTGGTAAACCTACATTCCAGCCTCATAACAGGTTGCTGTACCGCAGTGTTCTCCTGGTTTTATTTTTCCTAAAGCCCAAAGCTCCCTAAGATACCCCTCCCCAAACACCCTGAACCTTCTGAGGCTTTATTAATACAATATTTCATTAAATTACATATATGGGATAGACATAGTATATTTAGGATTTAAACTATAAAGATAGGCATCTCTCTGACCACAACTGAAATTTGCATTTTTTTTCATGATTTGTGGATGTTCTAGGCAAGTAACGCCCAAGAATTTTGGGGATCCACTGCAAATTGGAGGATAGTTTGTTATGTGGCAAAATCCAACTGATACAATGGCATTTTTACTTAGACTAATCTTTATAAGAAACATGTAGACTCTTTAAAATTCTTCATTACAATTCTTCATAAAATTCCACTGTAATAATTTCAACATAAGACTGGAGCCTGGAGGAGAGAGGGTTTGTGGGTATAAAGTGGACATGTAACAAAGGCAGCTTGCAAATAATGTTGAATGTAATAAAAGCAAGAAAGCAGCTAGAGCGAATCATTCAACGGCCTAGTGATTCAGAAGCCATTAGAAGGAGTTTGGATTGTCCTAGGGAACAAGGAGTGTTACGTAGGGCTTTACACAGGGCATGTCATGATCATGTTTGTGTTTCAGAGACCAGGATGCAATTGAGCTTGATTCTTAAAGTAGCTTTCTCCAGGCCGAAAAGAGGGCTGATCAGATGTGTGAGAGCAAGAGAGAAGCCCCGAGTTGACAGCTGGGCTAAGTCACATGGAAAGCAGTGATAAATTGTCCTGATTTAGTGATTGCAGAATCAGGACTAAAGCGGGACTGGAGTTGTCAACCTATAGTATTCGAGGCATGTGGATCGTATTAAATACACTCCATAGGTATTTTTATTATTATTGTATAGTCCATGCTTTTGCAGTTATTACTATTGGAAATGGTCAAGGTGGACAGCTCATTGTGTACCTATAAATGTGATGAGGGCGTTTATGAAAACACAATTTGTCTGTCCCTTAAAAAAAAGATGAGATATATACCTATACCGACCCCTCATGATGAATATATTAACTGTATATCGCAAAGGACACGTAGTTTAAAAAAATAATAAAGGGAGAAAAAAACCGAGGCGATTGGCCTTGACGCATGCTCAGTACGTAGTACAGTTCTGGACTTGGTCCTTCCAAGCCAAAAAAAAGCAGTTGCCCTCTGCTGGTCAGACTTACTCAATGCAGCGAAAGGAGGCAAAATTCCTAGGGGCGTGGTCGCTGCTGCTTGACGTAAAAGCGGGCGCCCCGGAAGCCGCGCTCCTGTGACGTCACTGGTGCGCGCCGAAAGCCGTCCGCCTCAGACTCATGGCTGCGGGTTCCTCCGAGGGCCCCCCGCCGAAGGCGGCCTCTGAAGGTCTAGCGGTAGGACCGGTCGGCGTCCTGCCTTGCCTCGAGCTGCCGACCTACGCTGCTGCCTGTGCGCTGGTGAGCAGCCGGTACTCGTGCCTTGTGGCGGGGCCGCACCGCAGGCACATCGCCCTGTCGCCCCGCTACCTCAACAGGAAACGCACCGGCATCCGGGAGCAGCTGGACGCCGAGCTCCTTCGCTACTCCGAGAGGTACCGCTGTCGGCCTTTGCTTTCTCCCAGCTGGCGGCGCCGAGGCGCAGCCCGACGCCCCTTCTAGGCGCGCGAAGGAGGAGCGGATTCCCACGCCGGTGTTCAGTGGAAAGGTCGCCCCTCCCCGAGTTTACCGCGCGAGCCCTCCTCCCGGGTGCAGGGCTGCAGAGGGCGCTTCCAGGCGGGGAAGAGCGGTTGGAGGTGAAGTGCGAGCGCCGGCGGCGGGAGCGCGGAGAGGCGCCCTGGGAGGGGGATGGGCCGACCCCGCGTTCTGCAGACGCAGGAGGCCGGTTCTGGTTGGCATTAAACTTCGTGTTGCTCCTTCTCGCTCGACGGTGCAGTTGTGACGTATGTACTTAAAACTCTCATTCCACAGAGCTTTGCACGGAAGCATCCGTAGAACTGTTGCATTTTAAAACATGCTAGGCAGTTGTTCGGCCCTGATAATTTTGGGGTTCTCTTGGACATGGTTGAGGATCACAGAAATACTTTTTGTTTAGAATCACAGTTTTCCAGTCTCGTTGGTGTGCCTATTGTTCTTGGAAATGAGGGGTACAAGGTGCATTACGTGAAGTCGTTCAAACTCAGAATTACAAGTGGAGATGTGTCTTACTATTCCTCTGAACGATTGTGGCTCAGAAGAGCTCAGAACTAGGGGAAATAGGTTCCCTACGGATTCATGACTGATCCTTAATTATATGAACCCAGCGGAATCGCAGGAATCTTTGAATTTTGTGAGATAAATTATCGCAGACTTTCACCTCTTTCTTGGTGGTCCCTGCCCCTCCATTCCCCAGCCTGTCTAGGATGTACCACTTTCTCTAAGCACCGATACACATATTTCATGTCTATATTACATACTAGGGGTTTAGGATATTAAAACAAAATAACGTCATTTCGAGGAGCTTCAAGCTGTAGTGGAGGTATTCATGTAAGACAAATCCAATGAATCTTTAAAATTTGACAGAAATCTAAAGTTACAGTAAGAAAAGGACTGAATTGTGGCCTTAGATATAACTATACAGTTTACAGTAAAGTCTATAATGCTGTAATGCGGCATAATAAAGTGTGTTTCACCATGCTGTTCAAGCGTGGCTGTCTGGGAAGAGTGATGAAATTAGATGCTTCCTGAACCTCTCAGTAGGAATCATGGTGAATGTGACAATTAAAATAAAGAGTTGATGTAGACAGCTGCCCTTGATTACTCAGGGTATTTTCTCCAGTCATCAGTGCTTGTATTTGAAAGATTTTGCTAAAGTCCCGTATAAAGTAGTCTTTGAATTTATATAATAATTCATTCCTGAAAATTTTTAATATATACTAAAACTATGCAAAGATGACTTAATGTTGATACATTTGTTTTTCAGTAAAGTTAAATTCTTTGCCCAGGTATTTATTAACAGGTTTGTCTCCATATTCAGAAATTGCATGGAGCTAAGGATTTTCCATCGTTGTAATGGTGTGTCCTGTGTAGATTGCTGTCTTCCTTCCCTGGCTTTTGCAGTATTTATAACAAACAAGAACAGCATGACAAATTCCCATCTACCTCCTAGGGGAAAAGTGTTCCCTCCACTTCAAAATAACAGAGTATTTGATTAGAGGAAATGATACCATAGTTGTTTTCCAGTCAGTTTTCGCAGTTATTTGTCATTTCCCCCCTTTCTGTTGTTTTCAATATGGAAGACAATGTTAGTGATAGGGTAGTTTCTCTGTAGGAAAGCCACATGCAAAAAGTAACAATTCAAGAGTGCTTTCCTGAAGAAGACTGAGTTTATGATTTTCCTAATTTGATAAGTTACTACTTTCTTGTGTCATGGCTATTTTGTTATAATAAAAAGCTATTAGTGATAAATTATTTCTACTGTGTATTTCATGCTAGAAATTTGAGTCCAACAACAAAAAAGTATTTTCTGTCACTAGCCCAGGATGTGTGTATGTGGAATCCATACATGCATGTAGATTTGACAGACAGTGATAAATTCAGCACAGTGATAAAGAATAGTGATAAATTTGTACATGAAGTAGAGTAATTTTAGCTTTAGTCAGGAAAATTTTCCCCCAAAATACTGTGATAGTGAAGCCACCAAGACTTTGTTCTGCATAGTTAAGAAATGATACTTATACCCCGGGCCTGCAGT